GTGGAAGCTTTTTGATCTGACTCCCATTGAGAAGAAAAATAGCTGGGAGAAAGAACTGAGATAAAAGCAATCTCTCTTCTTTTCTGATTATTTGTTTTGCACTGTGTACTGACACAGTGACTTATAAAGTGATTGCACAAACATATCCTCCAGCTGCATCCTATAATTATAGACATGCTGCAGTTTTTGAATTCTGAAAATTTGTTCAATGGGACAAAACAACAGCACAAGACATTAATAGTATTATACAGTATTTTTATTGGTAAATATTTTTATAAAACAATCTTATGAAAACAGATTCAAAATTTTCTGAGATATTTGAAACATGTGAAAGAAACTAGTGTTACATTTTCAATGCTTGAATGCAATAGTACAAATGGCAATATACAAGGCAACATTTGCTTCCCATTTCTTTGGTTACTGAATTTTTACACTTTGATCTTCGCTATACAAAAAACCCCTACATAATATATACATTTGGACAAAATACAACAAAATGTTTGTTTTAAAAATGCCAAACAATGTTGTGAGTTTACAGTTTCTAAATAACCTAATAAAAACCAATACTATACAGGTAGGTTGTGATTAGTGTTTGAATAATGCAATATTCTATTTAGTGCAAATTGTAAGTTGATACCTGGTCATATTCAATGCAACCCAAAGTTCAGTTAATACAAAGCTAACACATGCGAAATTGAGGCAATCTTCATGTGTGCAAAATGGAGAAAAGGAAGATCCCATCAGTGGAAAACAGTTCAAGTTTTAAAAAGGGCCTAATTATTAGAGAAAAAAATTGATGTAGTTAAACAACATGAATGTGGTCATAGCAGCATTAAAATAGGATGAGATGTTGGAATGCCTGAATCTACAGTAGATTTTTTGTTTTGTTTTTATTTTGCTTTCTATAACTACTCTGTGACTTTGTTAACCTTATAGTATAATTTTCATCCTTTACTGTAATATTTCATTAATATTCATATAAAAATGTATGTCTAAAGTTTTTCATTGCCTATTTCTGTTGAGCTGGAACCAATTACCATATTTTCCACAGAAATATCACTTTGAATAGTGCAAATTCGAATATTGCAACCATTTTGTGGGATTCATTCACCACACCAATCAAGACCTACCTGTATATTAATAACCGAAGTTTAACATTGTGGTTCAAGGCAGCATAAATGGAAGTTATCTCTCATTTCATCACCACAACAACCATTTGAAGTGAGCTGCCAAATCAACAGTAAGCTCCTGGGTTGAGTGAGAAAAACCAAAGCAGATGTCCTTGAGACTCGTTAACATTTTAACCACTACATTAAATGGGCGTCCTTAACCACTTTAATTTCTGGAGTTCAACAGCAATTTTGCTCTATCTAACTATCTATCTATCTATCTATCTATCTATCTATCTATCTATCTATCTATCTATCTATCTATCTATCTATGGATTTAGACATTTGCCAGCGCAGAGAAGGCAGGAGACAAAATTTCTTCCAATTTGCATTTCTATTTACGTTCACAAATATCTGCTACTTTTTAACTAGCTGTTTTATAGGAAACTATATTCAGATGCTACGAAGTGCACCATTTCTTTCAGTAGATGAGCAGATGCACAGAAAACCATACTGTAACTAATGTAAAGTTAAAAGAGGAAGAAAACTGCACTATTCTCTTGCTTTACTTATGGCAATAAACAGTTGAAGGAAAAGAGTTTAATGCATATTTCCACTTAGAATTTTGAATCCACAGAAAAAAACCTCAAAGCAGAGGATTCTGCCAATGCTTAAGGACAAGCAGATTATTTGGAATTTCCAGAGTTTTTTAAAATATCGTAATATACCTACTTTTCATAATATCTGAATTCTTCTATACTTCCTACATAATTAGCACATTTTTAAAAAAAGTAACTAAGTGAGAATTGTATTTGTACAATCATACAGGTAGCAAAATAATTAAACATTTTATCCATAATGCAATGAATTTAATAAAACTTTTGTAAAGCGGATGAGGTTACATCTTGTTACGATTTCCACTGATTATTTTTCTTAGGCTTATCACCAATTATGGGTGATAAGTTCTCTTCCTTTGTAATAACTCATTAGCTATTATTTTAGAAGCTCGTAAAAGAGTCAATAGTGAGGCATACAGATTTCATTCCCTATCTCCTCACATTCCCAGCCAAGAATTTAAGCAATGTGTATCTTGCATCTGAAAAGTACACATAAGAAAATATGAGTTGAGTACCCAGAAAAATTGTGATTTCATTTGTTTTGCCATAAACCTTGTCATCCACCCATGTCTTTGGATATTGCACAACTTCCACAAAAATAAATAACTGAACTGTGACCATATTGGCTGATTTGCATATTGGTCAACAGCCCACTTGTCCAGTTTTATTATTCCACTTCTTTGGAAATAACTAATAAAATTGCATGTTAATAAGAATCTGCAATGTACAAGAATATCTCCCCATAAACACTCTCTTATTTTTGTATATAAAAGCAATCAGCTTTCCATTTACAGAAAAATCCTGTAACTCTGATGAGATACAAACAGCAGCCCCATTCCGTCATTAAATCACTATTAATTTGAGAGCATCTGAATAGTGCACAATTATTTCTATAATCTAAGTTTTTTTTAAAAGCTACAATTTTCAAAGCAGCCTGAAAAATTAATCATTCTTTCCTAGAATATAATGTGCCATGCTCTTCATTCAAGCTGCCCTATGACATGTACGTGGCAAACCCAATAAAAGAGTTTGAGAAATGAGATATTAATTTTCAGGGCTCCTAAATGAAATCTCTGAAGCATTATTTAAATTTCAAGAAGTTGTGAAAAACCTTGTAAAGGTCATGATAAATAAATGAAATAAACAGAAATATTTCATAGCATAGGTGCTAAACACGTAATTAATCTCAGATATGAATGACATTAAAATATCAGTGTGTTCATTATTTAATCTTGATTCTTAATGTTCTTTTACAAGCTCTAATATTGAACAGGGATGACTTTTTCCTGAGCAAAGCGATCTCCAAAAGAGCCAATTGTTACATGATAGATTCTGAACTTGTAATATTTAAAAAACAAAAAACAAAGGAACAAAAGATCTGGTTGGTAATTTATATAGTCCATCTGATGGTCCTTTAATATTTTATTGTATTTAGAGCTTTTGCAAAGCATTATGAAACTTTTACAAAATTAGCATCATGAAAATGTTTAAAAGGTTCTAAGTGATTTTTCCACCATCCTAGATCCATCCACTTTTGGAATCTAATCCCCCCAGCCCCCTCAGCTGACTAAAGTGCTGCACATCCTGACTTGAAACACAGTAATTATATAAATGCAATTATATAACTGCATATATCTTAGATTTCTTTAAGTAATCTAGATTTTTGAGACCTACTGTAGTAGTCAATGAAAGATATAACTTTGAGGTAAAACAACAGTTAGTTCATATGTAATGCTAAACTCCACTCTGTTGTCACATAGCCAACTTTCAGGTCATGCATCACTAATTAGTTATTGCCTAGTCTGCAGCATATTGTAAGTTTGCCAGTTCACACTAAAACCAGCAAATCCTGGTTGCTACAAGTTAGCAAATGATTACTTGGAGGGGTTGCTATACAGATGCAGAGTTTGTTCTTGTAACAACCAACCATGATTAGGGTTATATATATATATATATATATATGGCAGCAATATATAACTTTTGCTGGTCCGTTCCAGATAGTATGTGAGGCCAGAACACATAATACATTTTATTTAATTTCATCTACATAATTAATTGTTTTGTTCCCCATGTATTTAATAATTTCCCCCTTCTGTCACATTAAAAAATACAATTTGGTAGCAATTTTTGGAGGTCTGTGCATCTGTGATCTATGGGTCATCAACTCAGTGAAAAAGATTCATTTCTGCTGAGGAGCTTCAGGTAAGATGCAAAGAGAAACCCCTTTACGTAAGCTGTAGCTTGCTTGCATAATATTGCACATAATCCTGTAAAACATTGTTCGAGGAACCCTTTTACTTTCAATTGTATCACAAAACAGCCCTGCTGTTTTGCATGATAATCCTGCCCCTGTGGCCTTTTCTTTTCCCCAACCCAAATATTAAGTGCAGCCCAATTGTGAAAATGTTATCACCCTAATCTGTACGAAGGACATCTAGTAAAAGCGAAGATGCAGATTGCATCCAGATATCTGGAGGCCTACCACCCGAAAGTCAACAGTATAAAATAAAAGAAAATCTCCCTATTTTTAATTCTGCACAATCACATACAACAGAGGAACTGTTCTCATTTAGAAAGAACATACCAATGTACAGTGGCTAATAGTAACAGCAATCCAAAGGACCGCAACTACAAATTTAGCTTCTGTGAATTGCTTCCAGTATCAGCATACTGATGTTCCTAATACAGCACACAGCTGTTCAAATAATTATTATACTTTTAGATCACTTCTCACTGAAATACCTAGAACAATGTGTAATGACATGTTGTTCAAAAAAAACTCAAGTAACTTTATTTGTACCAGCTGAGTTTCCTAATTATAAGAGAATTGACATGTGATCTCACCCGCTCTTTCATGCTGTTATCTTCCACCAGTCATCTGATGTATCCAGGGACAAGGTGGTCTGCAAATAAATAGCTCTGTAGTGGTACCTGAACCACTTTAGTTGCATCTACTGGAATCATCAGTCCAGTCCCCAGAACTATTCTTGCTCTTCTCCCCTCAGGGCAAGATGGCTTTTAAATAAATCTGTGGTGGCAAGTGATAAAAGAAAGGCACACATGTATATATAGGTAGTCCTCACTTAACAGCCATTCCTTCAATGATGGTTTGAAGTTACCAACGGCCTCAGAAAAAGTGCTTTATGACTTGTACTCACACTTACGACCATCGCAAACCATCGCACCACCACCCCAGTCTGTGATCATGATTTGTTTTATGATGGTCATTAAGTGAATCATGTGGCCAATAAGTGAATCATGTGGTCATTAAGTGAATTCTGACAAAAAAAATCCATTGGGGAAGCTGGATTTGCTTAACGAGCATGTGATTCATTTAATGACTGCAGTGATTCACTTAGCGGCCATCATAAAATGGTCGTAAGATCAGGTCCTGTCACGTGTTGACTCGCTTAATGACTTCCCCCCTTAACCAATTTTCTGGTGCCTATTGTGGTTGTTAAGTGAGGACTACCTGTACTACCATTAGGAGAATACAGTGTAAAATGCTTGCAAATGAAGATATAGAGCATATCCTGTGGGGAAAAAAATTGTAGCAGCCTTTCAAAAATATTTTTGCAAATGAAAGAAAGATCTATTAAAAAATAAATTAGCAAGGCAGAGAGATAAAAATAATAGCTACATTCATTGCAAGTCACATTCATGCCTCTTTTGGTCCACACTTCTGCATTTCTGCGAAAAAGCAAACACCGAAGTTGCTTAGGGCACATCATGTAACTAAAATAGTGGCAAGGCAATTAAGAGAAAGTTTTCAAGCAGGAATGCTTACAAAGTTTATCGTTTCAAACTTGTAAAATGCAGATTAAAATTAGTACTATGACACTTATTAAAAGTATAATTTTAAAATATATTCAATTATTGAATGCCAGCATTTATAGTGTATTAGATATTCAAGAAGCAACAGAAACAGCTATAAGCAGCATCTCTAAGAGGGAAAAAGATTCCACATTGAGTTTATAATTGAAGTTTTATGGATATTAATTTCTCTTGCTGTTACCATACAGAAACATTCTCCCTAAAATTAACTTCCATCTCACCAGATGGCAAAGGCTGTAAGAGGCCTTTTTGATCTTAAAAGGTCTCAGTAGGGGGGAAAAAGTCTTGCTCATTAAAAATTCATTTTAACTTCATTAAATACAACAGGTTGTTGAGCAGACTGCATAATCTCATTCAAAAAAGTTGGTCCTACAGATGAAATTCCCACCTTTTTACTACCATTGTCCTCCTATGGTGTCAGGAGCAAATCCCAATGGCTGCAAAGACTCTTTAATTTGGCCCAGAAGCTGGAGTTAGATTTTGGAATTAGGAATCATAGTTACTTCAACCTTGCAAGGAGACATAGACCCAGCAGTGCACAGAGAGAAACCACTGGATGCACACGACAAAGTAATTTGAGTTCAGCAGTAGTGAGGGTGATAATAAAAATAGTATCTCCAGCTTTCTACATTCACATTAATTTTATTTAAGTCAGGTTGTCACTTGTACTAAGCCATGTTTTTTGATTAACCAGAGTTTACCAGGTAGCTACAGTGGCTAGGTTCATATCACATACTAAGACAGAAAACCCTACCTCATGCCTTTATGAAATGCGTGAACCTATCAATTTTCTGTTGAATTTTTCTGTTCCTAAACCTAAGCTTCCTGAGGACCTTCATGGAAAACAGCTTTATTCCTTAAGACTATTTTCCATACTAGTTTTTGGAAATCACTGGTGGACTGCTACTAACAATTTCCTCATCTCAGGATGCAACATCAGAAGGATTTACATCTATGGTTCTTTTCAAAGATGACTGGATGACAAAGATCCCTACTTCCCTGGAAAATAGCTATATAAACACTGTCTGCTGTCTCCCTAGAGTGCATTTACTAAGGACAAAATATTTCTAAGGAAAAAGGTGTCAATCCCAAGTGAAACAAAAAGCTTCCATCAGAATGTAATAAACTTGAAGGCTGTAGAAACTACTTAACTATGACTTTTATAATGCAAACTCAAAACGAGAAGACCTGTAATTCTGAGGGAATATATCTTCAGTTTCCTTGACAAACTAACCGAAAACAACATGAAGCAGTGGAAATAGGACCAGAGGAGGGGACGGTCACAACGAAGACCACAGGCTTTCCAAATCAGTCTAGGCCTTTTCATTTTAAGGGAACTACACCAATTTCAATACAGTATCTTTAGTGCAGTGTGCTTTCCAGTTATGAGTTGTTTTTAGTAACTATGATAATGTATATTCTTCTCTTCTTAATAATAAGGCTTCAATATATTGTTTCATAGTACTCCACAAGATCAAAGGTTTTAAAACAATGAAAGTAATTTTATGGTAATCTTAAAAAAGCCAAGAACCCTCTTCCTAAAATTATTATTTATTATACAAGAGTGACAGTGAAAATGCATTATTATCTCCCAGAAGGCATAAACAAATAAATGCATTCAACCCCACTGCAATTTACTGTATCTTTTGAAGTTAGACATGGAAGATTCTTAATCATTAAAAAAAAGAAGAAATCAGGCAGATATTTCTCTAGTAAACTGTGCCCCCTAGGGATTTAGCCGTAAATTGCAGACTGCACGTAATAGCAGGTGGGCATACCTTTGTCTTCCTTAATTCATAACATTAGGATTTAATATTATCCATCAGAATTGACTGGCAATAAGCGGAATGGGTAAAGAAATGTACACTTGCAAACAGAATTTCTCTTACAAAGTCACCATGGTGTCCACAGTTTAGGGTGGCTTTTGGAGGTCGGTCTAAATATGGGCAACCCTTTTCAGCTGTTGGGCATGTTTGGAATTTTGAGAGGTGGTTATGGGTGCTCTCACAAAATGGCTGTTAAGATGGGCACAGCCAGTCACAAAACATGGATTTACCAGCAAATTATAGCATTCTATCTCCTCTTGCCCTAGAGACATTCCATGTAATTATTTTAAAATTAAAATAATATTTAAAAATATCCAGGTGGGGCACAGAGCCCAGCAGCTACCCAAGGAGGAATTCTTGGTACAGTGGGGCTGCCAGGCACTTGGCTGCCTATCTCTGGGTTACACAAAGTCACAGAGGAAAGATATATAAAGAGCCACTGGTTGCTATAGTTTCATGAAGTCTTCAGGATACTACTGAACACAGAAGAAAAATAATGCCTTCATGCTTTATTGATGGGCATCCTTCTGATCCTTTTTTGGAAATACTTTGAGTAGGAGAAACTTTGACTGCTTTTAGTCTTATGAATATCCATCTCTTCTGTTCAAGTCCACTAACATTTTTTCAGATCACTTAGAAAAAATGAAAGTTTCTTTCTAAGTCAATGAAATAAGCTTAAAATTGTTCAGATTTTTAAATATCAAAGTTCTATATATTTTGTGGATCTTAGCTCCATTATTCAGACATAGATAATTACGATATGCTTCTGGGAAGCAGGGAATAATCCTATTTTGGCAATAAACTCTGTAACTCAATAGACATTTTACCTTTGCTGTTATCTGTGACAGATTTCAATTCTTTCCAAAAGAGACTGTAAAGGAATTATTCTTTAATAATGGTTACAGCCCTTCCCTTTTGTGCCAAGAAAACTATTAGTAGCAATGCAGAAATTGCAAAGTTTCTCTATATCTAAGCAAAGCCCTGTTCCACCAGAATCAAAAACCCTCAATACCCTTTACAAAAGCTCTAGCACTGAAATAAGTAATGGAAAGGAATTTCTGATTTAAGATGTGTCAATAAAACTTTTATTTCATTTTCAGTTAGTGTTTCATATATCTATCCTGTGAGAATTTCAAAAGAATTAATATGTCTTATTTCTGCAAAGTTTTGGGGAACATACAGGAAAAAAAGTACAATGAAAGTCTATATCTGGAAAAATGATTATTCACCAGTACTGGAAGATCTTTTTTGAGGGGCAGACAGAGGAAGAGCTTACATGTTCTAACTACCCTGGCCAGCATCCATTCATTTTGCTAAAAGAAGTCAATGTTTCTGTTTCCTAAATAATATCTAAACAGACTAAGTATCTAGTGGCTTCATAGAGTGTATTTCAAATGACACACCTAAAACTCTAAAATATGTAATATCCAATGATATGGCCTTTGAAACCCAATAAAGGCATATGATTGATTTAAAAACAGGTAATAAAACCTTTTTCAAAACTCAGGTTCATTTTAGAACTCAGGTATACATATATTTTCAGTCATTTCTTAGACAGACTAAGGCATAAAAAAATCAGAATCCAAATTGCTCTGTCTTGAATTATGAAGAAAACTCAAGTTGAAATTGTCAGTTCAATAAAACAACATGGTCTTCACACTTAAGGAAAGTGAATGGAGATGTTGACAGAAACACCTTCTCTTCCCTACTCCATGACTATGGCCACCTAATTCCACAAACAGCTTATCCTGGGGGCCTTTCTCAGCATGTGGGGTGAGATTCCTAAAGTGGGGAGAAATGTCCCAAATCAGATGGACTTCAATTTTTCTGAAATACTCTCTCCTCCCCAAATAGCGTACCATGACACACCCACATAATTCAGAAGTATTCCCCTGAGAGGTACCAATGGAGGGCAAGAAGGAGAGGGGGGGTAGAGTATAAGGAAGCAGAAATCTTTCCTTCTGTGAAAAAAGGAGTATCCTGAAAGGCCACACTACCTGCCCAGCACAGGGTGGGATAAAAACTTTGGGCCCTAAAGGCATCCAAACCAGAAGGACCCATTTCGTGAGGCTCACTAAACTTCTGAGTATTTCTTCTAGCCAAGCACAAGTTATGAATGTAGTTATCCACACCACCTCATTCATAGCATTCATCACTATTTCCTCAGTGGTCTACTCAGCAGAGCAAAATAAAATGTAAAAACATATTTGTTTATAATCTTGTATGATCAACAGGATGTGAAAAAAAGGAATAGTCCTTTACCACTTTGTGAGATATACAATGCCCAGCATTGTAGGTCTCATTAAACATGAAGCTTTTACTTACATTACATTTCAGAGGAACTGCTTCCATTATGCCTATAGGTATACAGTGCATATTCCACAGCTTGGTGCACACTATGGAAGAGAAAATGCTTCTCTCCCTTTTTAATATATTCCCCTCGCTGTAAGGAGTCCCTCACAGAAAGATTACACTGAGCCAGCAGCACCTGGATGCCAATTTCGCCATAATCCTTTCGAACTTCTTTGAGGGTATGGATCCCTGCTGTATCCAAGAACTGAACTGCACAGCAGTCTATTACTAGCGTATGGAATTCTATTTGCTGAGAGACAAGTTGCACTGAAGTTTCGACCTGTTTTCTGCTAGCACCATCTGATTTTTCAGTAAGCTTCTGCTTTTCTAGCTTTCTCTTTGCTGCCAGTTCCAATGAAGGATTGACTCCAGTCGTTTTGTATAGCATGGACTTAAAGTTCTCTTTGTTAGCATAGTATATTGGTGCTTCAAAGCGAAAAATTTTGATGCCTGCCTTAACTTGAAGGCCACTGTAGGCAGGGAGGGGTTCATAGATTTCAGATTCTGGTACCAAACCAAGTAGCTGTCCTTCTGGGTTTTGTGTCCGCAGAATGACACATATCATTGAAAAACAGACCCCAATAAGAAGACCAAGTTCAGTGCTTATTAGTGCTGAAGATAACATAGTGACAAACCAGATCACTGTGTCAATTTTGCTTAACTGCCACATTCTTGGCAGGTCACCAAATTTTCGCAAGGCTCCTCTGAGATTGACAATGGTTATGACTGCTAGCACACATTTCTGGAGTGAATAGAACAGGGGAGCAATCACAAGCAGAACTAACAAGATGACCAAACCAGTCACCACACCAGAGATCTGAGTCCTACAGCCTGTTGACTCTTTAACTAAAGTCTTGGCTAGGGCTGCGCTGGTTGTGAAACAATGAAAGAAAGACGGGATGATGTTGCAGAAACCAATGGCATACATTTCCTGGTTGGGTTTAACTGTGTAGCCATGTTTCTTGGCAAACATCTCTGAAAGAGATACAGTGATGGCAAAGCCAATAATGGCTATGGCCACTGCATCCATAGCCACGCTGGGAATTAGACTCCAATCTGGTGATTGTGGTGGCAGAAATCCAGTTGGTATGTGTCCAGCCACACTGGAATCATATTTCTCTTTCAGCTTCCCAAAATGAGAAGCCAGTGTGGCTGCTATGATCACGAAGAGCTCAGTGGGCAAGGGAGCCTTGAGTTTTGATTTGAACCGCTCATTCAGCTCTTTTGTTGGGATAAGAACAAGAAGGCACAAGCAACTGGTGATGAGGTCACAGATGTTGGTCTTATGGAGGTTTTTGAATATGTTTATCCATGTCGTCAAAAGGGAACCAATGCCATTACTCCGTGGAATGTTTAGGCCCAAGAGGTATTTGGCTTGTGAGGTAAGGATGGTGAGGGAAGCACCGGTAACAAATCCGCTGAGCAAGGAGTCAGAGAGGTACACAGAGACGAAGCCCACCTGGAAGAAGCCCATAGCAACCTGAAGAGAAAAGCCAAAGTTTAGATGACACTTCTATATTACCAAGGAAATGAGGCTGAAAGATGATGCAACATGTTATTAGACATGTCATAATATATTATGCTGCTATTCAAAATTACAATTAGCTTTGTGTTTGTTTCAATTCTTCAACATGTTTATTGCTATTACTATGAGAAATTCCTTGTTTCTCTTTTTAAAAGATCTTTAGATTTGTATGTTTCAGAAGACTGAAGATTCTTAAATTACCAATATTTTACTGAGCTTTTCTTTAAAATGCCACTTAATCCTCTCTTACATTATACATCATAAAATTGTGATATGCATGTGTTTACTTTGATATAAATTTTGTCTGATGACATGTTTGTAAGAAGCACATTTTATACAACTAGAGCTATTGTGTTTTTTACACAGAGGGTGTGTGCGCATGTGTACCTTTGAGTCAGTGTTGATTCCTGGTAGTGACTCAAGTAGACTGCCTGACTAGTCCCTGCAGTTTTCTTGACAAGATCTTCAGAAGTGGTTTGCAAATGTCTTCTTTCTAGAGCTGAGACAGAATGACTGGCCCAATGTTACCCAGCTGGCTTCATGCCAAAGGCAGGACTAGAACTGTACAGTCTACTGGTGCCTTAACCACAATACCAGACTGGCTCTTTTTACACAGTTATTAAACATTAAATCAATATGCATAGTGATACCACACATTTTGACCACTGAATATCATGAGAAGAACAGAATCCGCTCCCCATTTCACAAACAGGGATTAGACTAGATGCATATGGCAACTGATCAGTGGACCAAAGTAGTCCTAAATCTGTGGATTGACTCAGAAAGTACAAATTAAAAAGCACAAGAAAGGTATGAGTTATAGTTCTTTTGTATATAGTAGCTGATAGCATGAAGGAAAAAAGATAGGGAGGTGAAGACAAACAAATGCAATATGTTCAAGTGAAGTAGAATTCAGTGTCCTTGTTCTCCAGAAATCCAGGGTCCTGAAAGTTCACCCATGTCAATCATTAGCTAAGAGGTGATAAAACCAATGTCTTCTCTGCCAAGCCCAGCATTCTATCTTGCAAAACTAAATCCCAATTCAACCCCACATTCAGAAGCCAACACAGTCACTTCATAAATATCCTCTGTCCATCCTACTAAGCTGAAAAACAAAGTTTCAGTATTGGAAGTATGCAGTATTTGGATCCAAAACAAGCAAAGGTGCATCAGATCTAGCATGCAGACCTTTGCTGTATCTATTGGTAGCTCCTTAAAGGAACTGTACCTTTTCCTGGGATTGTAAGGCAGCCATGAGGACTCAGATCATGAAAAGGCATTAAGGATGCAGCATAACATCTCTCTCTGCTTTGGATCCAAGTACTGCACACCTCTATTCAGGATTAATAATGCTAATCCTGGGCAAGACAAGCAATATAACATTTATCTAAAATACTTTTAAAAAATTAAATTTGGGAATGAGAAATAAGCATTTTCCCAAATAAATTTCAAAATATAAGTGTAACCAGGCCCAATCTGTAAGAATTACAGATGTTCATTAATACTTTTAATTCAACATTTAGATATAACACTAAAATTGTTAGTGCTCCCCTTCCTGATGCTTTGAAATTACAGCACTTAGAACTGCAATCTACCCAGTGTTGCCAAAGCTTCTATCCATATATTTGTAGGACCTAGGAGGGAGAAATCTTAAGCTACAGTTATTGTATCAACCTATCTGCAATTCTGCACACTTGACAAAAAAAGGAAAAGAACACAAAACAGATGAAGTGGATACCCTTTAACTGCAACTTCTTACCTGATAAACCCCAGCAATGAAAGTCACTGTTGCTCCAACAGTAATTGCATAGCAACTCCTATCACATAATATTTGTGAAGTCTGGTTGGCAGTCCAAGACACCAATGTGTTATTTATGAGGTCATTCATATCAGAATGATAACTGCTAGAAGCATCAGGTACTAAATCGTATCCAGCTCTCTGCACTTCACGGTCCACCACTTCTCCCACCATCAAGCAGAGTACACCAAAAATGCCAACAGAGATATGATGGGATGTTCCAAACAGAAAGTAAATTATGCTGGCAAAAAATGATGTGTACAGACCATAGATAGGTTCTTGGCCAGCCAAGAGGGAATAAGCAATGGATTGCGGAACCAGCAAAATTCCTACAATTATGCCAGACATAAGATCCCCCAAGAAATATTCTTTCAGTTTGTACTTGGGAAGCCATGTCAGTACTGGGAGAAAACTGAAAATCAGATCTTTGGCTTTAGCTGGGCTACAGCTGCAATTTTTCTTCACTTTCTTTATCACATAAGCCTTGATATCTGTGCTTTTTCCTATATGTTCCAGAGAGATCCTGGAATGATTATTCCATTTGCCCTCATTCTCCTCTGCCAGTTCAAACACTGGATGGACATGATTGGCTTCTTCTGCCATCCTCAGGGCTCTATAGAAAAATGGAGAAAAAGAAGTAAGACTAATCCCCATTAGTCCATATTCAGATAAAAGGCTTATTAAGACAAAATTCATACAAGCAATTCTGAAAAAGAAAGGACTTACCAATATTAATTTATATTAAACTGACCAAAAATGAAAGAAAGCAGACAAACAAAAACCTTGGTCCAATTCAGTACTAACAGCTGTAAATCTAAATTATACCACTAAAACATGAAGCACAAAAAGAGGGTTTGCCACGGACATGAGAACAGAGCTAGGGATGCAGAATCTATGGCTGAAATTGAGCAGCACATTGATGAATACTGGTAGCATTATTTCCTGTAGATTAACAGTAGGAAACAAAAGAAATAAGGAACATAAACTTTCAAATGAACTGAATGCACCTTAAACTGAAGAACAAAAATGGAAGGTTATCAAACTAATTTTTAAGAACTCATTGAATGCTTCCATCCAGCTGTACAAAAAAGTTTCCCACACCTGATGTACCTAATAGTAAAGGTGGCAACAAAGAAGCCCTTAATTATGTGGGAGGTCTTATATTAGACAGTTCCCAGATTGGATAGTACTCTGGAACAGAGTTTTATTCTGTATAGGGAATGCAAGAGGTGCCAGCTATGGGGATGAGGAAGAATGGATAAGAATGCAGAGCTCGTTTTCCCCTGTTCAAGGTTTGAATCTACATGCTCAGAAAGTTTATGAAGATTCTCAGTCATCCAAGCGGAATTGTCTGGAGGCTGAGTCATGGCAACTGGACTTCTTTTTTGGTTGGAGACATTTCGGTACTTGTCCAAGCAGCTTCTTCAGTCTAAAAATTCTGAAGAACTTTTAGACTGCAGAAGCTGCTTGGACAAGTACCGAAATGTCTCCAACCAAAAAAGAAAAGAAGTCCAGTTGCCATGACTCAACCTCCAGACACATGCTCAGAAAGAGTGACAAGTGCAGTCCTTTACTTCTAACTTCAACTCTCTGGTTTTCTAAACTCTATGTGTTACATCTTGCCTCCTGCTTTGCTTCCAAACAGCCTGAATAACATGTGTGGGTTCTCTCTTTTACACACACAATAAGCCTATAAGGCTGACTGCATTGGACTAAGTCATGATTAGACTAAGGGCATATGCTATTTAAAACCTTAAGCATTTTAAAACTTTGTATGTTCTGGGGTAATTCAAAACGTATGTTTTCATTCTAAGCTGAATAGTAATTTAAGATGTACAGTATTAATGTATTCATACAAAAGGTATATCAAGGTAACATGTTTTACTGGTTCTTCCATAAGAAGCAGTAAATACAATATAAGAAATTTCATTTCATTTAGAGACTGCGGGCACTATAGCCCACAGCTTTCTGCTGTACATTTCTTTTATAATTATGGATTGCAAGAATTGTATTTACATGAAGAAACAAATATTTTACAATGTTTCCTGCTCGACAAGGAAGTGGCACTTGTATTTTGCATTCTGTACAAGGAATCTGAATCAACATGCAAAGCAAGTAAAGGAATGAAAGATAATGATTCTATAGTAAAGACAATTTTAAATTGTAGTGTTTTCAAAGCTTGCTCTTTATATGAGTATCTACTGTTTGCACCGATGTATTTTTCATTTTCATCATTTCCTGTGAAACTAACACTGCATGTAAATCTTATAATCTAAATATGATAACTGTAGATTATAACACCTAGGTGACCTCAAAAAACCAAAGCAAGGCTAGAGTTGGTTAGGATAGGATGAGATGACACCAGGAAATTTCAAGGTTGTAAGGTAAACTGGGAAATAAATGCACACATGTGCACACACCAGAAAAAGGGCATGGCAAACCAATTCTTTTTTTGTTGCCAAGAAAACTTCATAGGCTTCCCCAAGAAGTCATCAGGAATCAAGTTTCACTCAAAAAAGACTTTATTTTATGAGAGGAT